TACTTACTTACTTACTTACTTACTTACTTACTTACTTTATTTATTTATTTATTTATTTAAAAGACTTACATCACCTCCTGTCTTATGCACCATAACTCTGGGCAGCTTACAAGCAACAATAAAGACAGCAAAAACACAAAACCATAGCAAAAACTCCCAGCATCCCCCAGAACAGCCCACCCACACACATTATACACAAACACACACACACACACAACATACATGGCTCCAGTCTCCTTCTCCTCCAGTGCTTGCAGGAAAAGCCAACTCTCCAAGGCTTTCCAGAAGGCTAGGAGGATCTGGGCCTGCCAGATCTCAGGGGAAAGGCTGTTACAAAGGGCAGGGACTGTTACCAAGAAGGCACACTGCCCAGGTCCCATTAGGTGGCAACATTTAAGGGATAGGGGCCACCTTATCTGACTTCAAGTCCTTCAAATATGCAGACCAATTCCTAGAATTCTCAACAATGGCCATGCTGCTTAGAAGATCTAGGGGGCTGAAGAGCAACTGTAAGGGAAACTTACTAGAGTTGCCTCCACTAAATGCTGCTTAAAGGAAACAAGTCAGAGTCTGGAATCTGATGCTTGTAGTGTTTAACTGCCAAAGACAGGCACCTTTTCTGCGCAAGGAGGACTTTTTGCCAAGCCTTTCTTCCTGCGGCTACCCATAATCGTTTGAACAAGAGAACGAAGCAAACAAACAAGGCTCCCAATTCAGAGGCTTAAAATCTTCCATAGCTGAACTTCCCTGAGGGCAAAGCAGAAGCAATGGCCTACCCCCTACAAGCATTTTGATTGAGGTTGCTTTTCAGAAAGGATGGTGGCAATTTTTTAAGCCATTCTGCTAAAATGAATACATGCCCAACAATACAGTTGTACTGGGCCTCATGTCACTTCCACCAGGCTGGTTATATGTGTGGAGATGGTCTTGCGGACTATCTGTACTACACAGAAAAGAGAACGAAAGAGCTTCCTCTTCTTAAGATCTCCCATCTTTTGCTTTCCATTTCTGAACCTGTTCAGAGATACACTTGGGGTGGGAGAAGAGGCAAAAAGAAAGCTCTGAGAATGAATGTAAGAACTGGATTAGAAACCTCCGCAACTTCTGGGTAAAAGACGTCTTTTAAGGATGGCTGTCATAAGTACCTTTCTCATCACTCAAACCCAGCTGTCCAGAGGCGTTTTTTCCCCAGCCAAACACAGCTCCTGAGAGGGACAAAGCAAAGCTGTGTGCTCCACCTGCGGCCACCTGAGACAAAGGGATCCCATCAAGTGATCTGACACGCTGAGGAGTGGTCTGAGAGGGGAATTCTTTACCGAGTCCAAGCTGTCCATGGTTGTTCTGTCCCCATGCAAAGAACTGTCCATCTGGGGGGGAGGGAGGAAATGAGACCCAGAGCTGAGAAAACAACCAATCTTCTTTCACCTCCCAGCAGCTTATTGCAATCACATGGAGAAAAGCTAATATCAGCTTTTAAAATGCAAAGACACAGAATAAATAAATGCATTAAATTTATGAAGTGATGCAATGAAAATCATTTAGTCTGCCGAATGTGCATAAATTTAAGAAAAGTAGGATACAGTTCTACTGTTGAAACTAATACGTTTCGGACATTATAGAGAACTGTCGTTTTAGAAACATTATCTTCTATTAACAACAAAAAAAGTGGGGATCATCTTCTTTTTGAACCTTTTCTGAGAACTGTTACTGTTATCTGTTACTATTAAGTGCTACTATTAAGGGTCACTTCCTAGTGAGATGGGCGGTGACCAAATTTGAAATATAAATAAATAAATTATTGAGTAGAAACTTGTTTAATTGGGGGTTTAATTTAATGCTACAGACCTAGTAAGAAAGGTTGAACTATTAAATGTTAAAATGGTCATACCAGCTGCTAGAGCTAGACAATGCCAGTTCCCGCATGAGACCTGAAGAATCATCTCTTGGTTCAGCTTTTTTATTAACCTAAGACAACAAAACAATAATACACTTTAAAAAGACTACAGAGGTATAACACTAATAGAATTCATCTAGTCTTCATTATCTTCGCTGTCAAAGAGACTGTGATAGTAAGAATAGTTTAGACAATATTATCATAGTCCTAAAACATAATTGGTTTGAATTTTAAAAGAAAACGAGAAAAATAGGAGTGCCTCTTATTAAATGTGATCACTTACTGAAGGCCCCAAACACCACAATGAAAACAAACATGAATTAACAGATTTCCATCAAATCACTTATATGTATCTGCAACCTTCCACTGTGAATTCAGAATAGGAGAAGTCCCACACGCATAATCTTTCATACTTACCTTGGAATTGTTACAGAATCTTCTCTTGTTGTAAGGCCCAACTGGCCATCGCTCCCTGCACCCCAGGAATAGAGCTGGCCTTGGTCACTAAGAGCCACACTGTGAGACTCACCACAGGCCACATGGATGATGTGCTGATCAGCTAGAGCATAAATTTGTTCTGAGGAAAGACAAGAGGAAGGTTGAATATTCCAAGCAATCAAAACCACCTAGTGCTAGCATTCAAAGCAGAAAGGGTGGTGGTGGTGGTGGTAGAGGAGGAGGAGGAGGAAGAGGGAGGGGATTTCAAAACCCAAGATTTGTTAAAGCAATCATAGCTGTGTTGACCATGAGACTCAAATCCTAAATGCATGGAGGTGGTATATTTGCTAAGTCACCTGAAGTTGTACGAAACCTCTGTAAACTTCTGAGTTTTCAGAATTCCCCATCAAGCAAGTGGACTAGAAAATAAAAGGGGTTGGAAGATTTCTATTGGCAAAATAAAGGATTTATAAAGATTTGATTCTTTCAGCAAACTTCAGGAGAGCCCTTATCATAAACTACTTTATATCTAAAAATATCCAATCTGCATGTCTGAAACCTCCCTATTATGCCATCCAACAACATGAGACAGATATTAGCCATCTTTTTTCTCCCTCCCCACTCTCTTCTAACCCACTCTAGGCATGCAGTGAAGACGAAGGGAAATAACTGGTTCTGTTTCAAAAGCTGTTCTGTTGCCAGTTTCCCATAAACTGCAAGTACCCTCCATGAGAATATTTTTTTCTCTAGACAGCAAGGAAAGGTCCTTGTCCTGTTTTTCAACAGTCTTGGGATAAAATGGGCAGTGATGCTTTACAGTTACTAAGTGCACTGTTCCTGGCAAATCTCTCAAGTGTCAAGCTAAAAACAATTTAACAGGAGATAAGAACATTTAGCATGCAAAGCTACATACTTCTTGATTTCCCAAAGCTTTCTAGGAGGAT